AGGAAATCCCTCTTTATCCCATTTGATTCATTGAAAACTCAGACTCCGAACACAATTTTAGTTTTTCATAGCATTGAGCAGATAGTAGGTTATGACCTAGCGACGCTTTGCGACGCCACAACGGCTTAATCCGCCGCATACTGTTTTGTCCCAAGAATTAGGGGCGGCGTTGTATTTTTTCGTGACCAGCTATCAAATAACCCCCGTAGGTGGAGTTTTGGGCCAACAAACGCGATGTCCCCTTACGGATATCAACCGAATCTATACAGCAAGGTGCAATCGTGACGGATAATCTCCGTGATGAGAGTATCAAACAAGCAATTTTTGAACAGATTCGCGCTGTTGACCTCCTAATTGTGGTGCAAGCACTTTTCCAATGACTTATATCTGTGCGAACAAATTTTTCCTACTATTTCAACCCTGCTGACCTAAAGGATAGATTTTGGAAAAAAATCTGCTGCTTTTCTCCATTACCTTCCCCATTTCTAAATGACATTTACTTCCTTTATGCCTGTTAGTGCAGCGCTTGCCTAGGCTAATCATATATATGCAAAAGAAAGCCCCTTTTTCAATTTGTCCTTTTCCCAGGATCATTAATAGATTGGTTCCCGTCGGGTTGAATAGGTCAGCCAAACATTTTCGTCGGAGATAGTGATTATTTCGGGTGGTAGCTTACTTCTGTAGCAGGATTTCTGCTTTTAGAAAATTCGCATGACTGACTAAAAATGACAATCTTGATCAACAAACTATAGAAGTAGCGTCATTGAATGTGTTCGGTCTCAATCGGAGAGATTTGGTCAAATTATTTCAGACCTTTGCGGCAGGTCTTCGGATGGCAAACTGGGATTGGTTTTTGTGGAGAAAGCAAAGGGAAAATCGTATGGGGTCCGGAGAAGAGCGGAGTTCAATCCCAATTATGACCGCTTTTTCTACAACAAGAATGTTGAAGCTACTTCCTCCCCTCTCCTCTCCTTCCTAGCGTGTTCATGCATGCGGCCTAACTATTTCCGTCTTATTAAATACTTGATTCAGTAATTCCACAATTAAAGACCGTTTAAAAGCCTGCTCCAGCAAAGCTTCAAAGTTCGTTCCGAAGCGTTTGTAAATTTAAAAGGGCTTTGAGAAATTTCGATAAACCTATTTCTAAGCATTGAACTGCCACCAGAAGTGGCACAAAGATGCACAAAAAAGAGTAGAAGAAGTGTTTGATAAATCTTTGAAATATTATGAGAATGGAGAAATTGCCGTATCTTTCTGTGATTTAGGTCTCCGGCGGAGACCTTCGGGAGACTTCAGGTCTCCGATTAGCAAACGCTTTTTTGTTTCTCATAATTTTGCGCTGTTTATAGCAAACATTTTTTGTGCATCCCTTGACCCTACTTACAACGCAATAACCAGACCAAAGCACTTTTTCCCTTCTTTGCTAGGGCCCTAAATCGTTTTACCTCAATGAAGCAAACGCGCTCCAGGTATACCGCACTGCACTGCTTGACCTGATTGCACATGTCTGTACAGGTTACAAAGGGGACATCGTAATGTCCTGGATTTTCAAACGGGGATTCCTTCTCGTAAGGTCCAATCGGAGACCTCGTGGCGAGGGCTGAATTATTTCCTTCTTGAAATAGAAAGTGTTTAGTATCTCCGAAGGTCCTGCGTTTCTGGCGTATATTCTTGCTATCTATAAACTTCTCAAGCTAAAATGGTTTAGCCTCTTTTAAAACATTTATAGCCAAGTGTATGCATAACTGCATGTAGCTTTTTGAACCGCAAACCGGCGCAGGTATGTTCGTTTTAGTTTCAACATCGTTTAAGCATGTAAGTAAATACAAGCTTAGCACTGCGACTGAGATATCAAAAAATATTTATTGTTAGGTAATCATCGGTAAAGAAAGAAGGCCGATGGCATGTCAAGTTCTCCATGTTGTCGAATACTTATTAGTGGACGAACGACTCATTAGAGAGTAAAGTTGTTATATCTTTTACGCAAACTGTTCCATAAATAAAGGTTTCTTATTTCCGTTCAAACAAAGACGAAAGGATGATCTGATCTCTTAAATATTTTAGGCATTTCTATTATCATTGATGTAGGCACAATTTGTAAGATGGTAACAGCAGCTGCAGTAGTTCCTCCCTCGTCGATCTAAAACATCTGTAGTAGAGTTAAGGAATACCTGAGGTATGACATGAAGGATTGACAAGCACTATGCAGAATAGCTAATTTGCTTAGCATACTATACTGCAAAACAATAGTGTGAGTACTTCGTTTTGACTGTACATAATCAAACTTTTCTCAGATTTTCTAGACTATGTGATAAACGTTCTATATCTTTCGCAGAAGAGCCATCGTTTTGTACTTATTCCTTCACATCTTATCTATGAACTAATAGGATGGTCTATAATGGTGAATGTAGGCATCTGTGGGAAGAACAAATGTTATTTCGCTTCTCTGGTTTGTTTCGCAGTGTTATTGAAAAACGGGAGGGGTAGGCTTTTCTTTGAAAATAAGCAACTCTCGCTTACTTTCGCAGTGTAGCAATTGCATCAAATAGGTTCAGGTATTACACTTATGACAATAATCAAAATGCACATATCTGGTCGATATTAGATAGGCTAAAAGATCTTTTTACGAATGGTGTGTTCATATAAAGGTTTATTGGTTTGTACACAAAAACTAATACTAGAGTGATTTGATGCAGTGATGATTGAGAATGTTTTAGTGCCAATCTTCAAGTAATTACGAAGAACTTCAATTATATAGTGTAAGATTAGAAGTTGCAATTCCTAAAAAAGTTAGCCACATTGATGTTTATTTCACACCAAGAATTGTTTAATTGCTTTTGACCATAACATTAAAATGCAATTCAATTTACTATTGAATTATCTGACTCAGAGCTTTCAAAATCGCTCAAATCTAGTGTTTTATTGGTATATCATCGTTACTCTACCATTGCCTTTAAGAGAATGAAGCGTGTTTAGACTCAGTCTGTTGATAAAAAGTGCATGCTTCGGTAAGGGATCCTGACAATCACAACAAACTGCCTGCAGGACTATCTTGATTCCTGCGTTGTCAAGTGAATCGTGGATGTCTTACGGATAATCAAGGTTGAGCACAACAATACAATAGTACAAATGTTCAAATATAAATCTATTGGCAACACTTAAGTTTGAGAAAGAGCACTACAAGTCTATAGGAACGAAGCATGCATTTTTGCGGGAAACCAATGAAGATGAGATTAGAATTGCTAGGGAGAGAAGCTTATCGTTGGATCAAAGTAAAGAATGCGATAATAACTCGTAATATGCTAATGAAATATATATATATATATATATATATATATAAATATATATAAGTCAATCTTTTTCCAGCCATAAAGTTTATTAGCTTCATGTAACTTTGGAAAATTACAGTTGATGAACTATGAGCTTGTTAGCTATTAGCAACATACTCTCAGCGCACTATCAGGCAGTTACATTGATTTTTTGTGCGCTCAATTCACCTCTTTATTTATGTTTTACTAAGGCTGCATACATGCTTTGAAAGCTCATTTCGTTACATTACACTTAACATTCCAACTCATGTGCTTGATATTCAAGTTATTAGGCTGATTAATGAAACGTCAGGTCGACTAGAAGTAGCATTTTTGACATCTGGATTTTTCAATACTTTATCTCTTTTCTTAAATTCCAGTTCTATAGGAATGGAGTTTTTTGAAAAACCAGCAGTCAGTTGAATACTAAGATGTTGCATAAAACTTCCCCTCATTACAAAACTGGTTAATGCAAAACATCAACCGCGAGACCTCCTCACATGGTGGTTTGGCATTGAACCAGGACCAATTGATCTACGAATATTTGTTTACGTCCAAATTTACGCTATGTATCGCCTTAGGAATGGAAGGATCTTATTTTCGGTAGGAGCAAACATATTGGTGATCTGCAATAAAAATTTATGGGAATTCTTTCGGGACCGATAACGGATTTCTGCCAGGGAAATGTAAGCAGCAGCGGCTGTCTCAGCGTCTCTCTCGTCAATTTGCAAAGCACTGCAATTGAGAAGATTTTTATTATCAATATAAACATATTGTCAAAAAGAAAATATTTATCTTTATAAGAGTGATTTTCAGTAAATACTTGACCTTTTTACCTCAGGTGGTTCACCTTGGCGCGAAGGAGTCTCTGGACGTTGAATTGCGATTAGCAGCGACTTAACTCTTCAACAGGTTTTCATGCTGGGAGGAAATCCGACATTTTTAGTTTTCCGGATGCTCAGCTGAGATATGCCCTATCAGAAAGGCATCGCGCGGCTGAATTAGTCGTTACATGGATCCCCTGATCCATGTATCTTGAAAATCAAATATGGTGAAAGTTTCGCAAGTTCCTGTAAGGCTGTTAAAAAGGAAACTTCTCTGTACAGCATGTATGAGAGATAAAGCCCTGCACACTAGATCCCATCTTTGGATTAAGGCCAGTGTTAGGTTGCATACAACGTCATGGATATCGCACCAAAGGACGAGTCAATGATTAGCCTTGGAGAATGTCTCATGCTCTGTGCTTACGGGCTAATACAGTCTCCAACAAGTTCGACCTCCTTTCCCCCAAGTTGCAGGGTGCATCAACTATGAATCGCCTTGCAGGAGATGAAGTCCAGGAAGATGGACGCGATCAACTGCACACACTCATTATTCTTGGTAGTACCGTACCAAAAGTTGGAGGCATTATACTTGTTGCCCATCTTATTGATTTAGAGGACTCCTATTAACTGGGGTCTCCATCCTTCTACTGCTTCCTCTGCATCAAAAGGGCATCATTATCATCAGCTATCTTAGCGTATGCCTGCTGAGCGTGCTTTACAAGCTTAAATAATTATTCTCACTCGCATCTCAAGGACACTGGATGGAGCCCAGTAGAACACTGGATTTCGCAAGGGATTCTGCTAGGATCACATCCAGGCAGGTTATCGAGATTTGCCGGAAGTACCGCCCACCTCTCGCCCTAACCTTTGTTGACTATGAGAAAGCATTTGATAGCTCGAGTCTAATGCCGTACTGTCAGCGCTCGTTGACCAGGGGGTGGACCCATCTTACGTGAGGACATTGGCCGGCTGCTATAAGAACTGTTCTACAATGTTACATCTTTTCCATCGCCCGCATACCATTTTCGAAGGGGGTTTGACGAGGCTACACCGTCCAAGTGACAGGCTTAGAGCTCCGAACTCACCTGTTCGACCCAAATGTCCTCCCTGCGCTCTGTTATGGAGCACAGACGTGGTCTGACACTTTGGCCACACTGGAACGACGTCTTCTAAAGTTCTTCGACGTACTCTGCATCTCGTTACTACGCAGTTCAGATATGAGATCAATGTCTTGTCTTCCCGATCCAGCGGAATGCGCCTCTAACAAGAGAAGGATACTTGGTCCAAGTGGCGATTCCAAAAGGGATATATATCGTTAGAGGCAGTTTGAAACGCTGGCTTCAAATCTACCTTCGATATCTGCGAAGCACCTTTTTGGAAGGAGTTACGGAAGTTTTTCTCTATCAAAAATGGCTTACAGGACCTGGATTAAAATCTCAAAAGTTCAAACTCGACCTAAAACAGCAGTACGATGGTTGAACCGACTAAAAAACATGTCTTTATGATAAAATTAAACCATTTGCTTGTTGTTCCTAGATGGATTTGATGTTGTAGAGCAGTCATTAGCAAGACGCACAGCTAATTTCATTATAGAAACTTCCATAACTTCTTCCAGAGAACGCTTCGCATATTTGAAAGGCAGATTTGGAATCAGCTTCTGAAACTGCATCTTCCAGTATACGTCACTTTTTAAATCGCCACTTTGACCAGTATCTTTTCCTTGTAAGGTAAAACATCGACGGGTTGTTTATACAATGAGAGGACACAGAAACAGTTGGGCACTAAGAATTCTGATATGGATCCCTCGCGAAGCAAAACGTCCTCGAGAGAGGCCACCAACCAGATCGGCTGACGTGTTCGTTGCACGGACTGACTAGCTGAATTCTCAGCTGATGACAAGTTATCAGTTCAAAGCCAACATAGTAAATGAAGCTAACGAGAGACAGAAACGGATAAAAACAATGCTGGGGCTTGCACGACGAGTGAGGACAAACCAACAAATTCTAGGTATATAAGTAACCTTAGCGTCAGCAGCTGATGATTCGAAATTGAACGCTTTCTACAAAAGATGCAATAAAACATCCGCCAACATAATCCTTCTACAAATTTGCGATGGATGCAAAAACTGGGAGGCCAGAAGTAGAATAGTATAAGATTGAAAAGCTTGGACAAGGATCTATGAATGAAAGTGGTCTAGTATGGTGTTGTTTGCCACATGAGCCTTGCGTAAAAACTCCATTTCCATGAACAATGGACACTGCTGAAGGAATTAGAGTTCGCCTAAAGGTGGACTGGCGCGGGGTTGATCACATTTTTACCAACCTATCCAATAACTTTCTCAGCGGCACAATCTCCCGCAGTGAATCTTCCCGCCGAGCCAAGGGCTAATTCAATCGTTAAAAGGAACTTTAACACCTTGCTAATGGAATGAGAGAAGCCTTTATGATAGCGTCAGATTAGAATATCTAACACCTGTCACCTGTCAAAAAGAATTAGCGAGGATTTATGTCCTTCTACTAGATGAGAGTCTGAAACAGTGGGCAAGTAAAACCATCAATGACCGGACTGAATAAATTTGGAAAGGTCGCCAGGAGTTTACTCGTTAGGAGAAAAACACTGAGGTGGAAAACTGCTTCACCAGCTTGAACTACTGATTAATACCAGCTGCTTACAGAGCAGACCCCATAATTTGCAGGTGATTAATCCTTTGGTAAATAGCGCAAAAGAGAGTTTTAGAGAAGTACGCTAGGACCTTAGCGGGGCACCTAACTTCCGTCACCTGGTTTACCGCATTCTATTGACAATTATCAGACAAAAAAGGGTCCGCATGTTTTTCCGCCAAGAGGCGGAATCAATTCAATAAAAAGAGATTCTACGCCTATCTCTTCTGTCAGGAACATCTGTCAAGCTCTGTTGAAGGCATTGCCTCTAAAAGATGAAAGCAGCCCTGTTTTGCAACCAAACATATTATGGAGACTTTCTCTGACCTACACAACAAACGTACGGAGCAAATAACTTCTGCAGGAATTCCCGATGAGTGGTGTCTCTAAACAGTCTTTTCAACAAGAAGTGTGACGAAGATTTTCGGAACTCCATTATGCCTTCTAAACATGCTGTGCAAGCTCCTCACAAAAATCATCCTAAAGGAAACTTGATGGAGCTCCAACTGGGAAAAAGCTGAATTGCGCGAGGATTTCATCTGCGTCGTATCTAAAGGTCTAAATGATTCTCGAAGACTGCAAAGAATATCACCTACCTCTCATACTAATTTTCATCGACTACCAGAAGGCGTTGATAACCTCAAGTCCAATGCAATGTCGTAGACCAAGACGTGAACACTTTCGTGAGGATATCGACTGAATGCTACGGTAACTGCTCTCTTCAAGGGGACTTTACTAAACCGGAGACAATGTTGAAAAGCTAGATGAAGGAGGGAAGTGGGTGGAATTACCAATCAACCAAAAAGGAGTCAATTTATAAAAGCTTTTTGCAGGGATCATAAAATAGGTCAAGAAGACCCTCCATTTGTGGAAACCTCTTCTTCGTATCTTTAGTCGATAAACTTTTTTAGTAACTCGAAAGGAGCCTTCAGTTTGCCATCGAAGGCTCCTTTCGAGCCACTAAAATAGCCCCTGAGCAGCCATAAACCCTCAACCTCCCATCTGTTCGAATCGATCATTCCTTTCTATTATGCAGTAGAGGCGTAACTTGACATTGTGACCACTCCAAAAATTCTCATAAAAAAAAGACATCTTTTGAAGTTTAACCGACGCCCTTAGCACCTAGACTTTGCAGTTCGGATATGAGACCAATGTCGCATATTTACGATTTAGTGGAGTAGGTGTCTGAAGCAAAGTTTTGGACTGGTCAAAAAATGGACAGACCACACACGGACATTAAGAACTCTGGAGTGGATTCTTCGCGAAGCAAAGCAAAGGGAGGCCACTGCAGATAGACTGCATGTTCGTTGCACGTATAAAGTGGCTGGAATCTCAGCTAATGCTCAAGAGATGTGGACCTTTCAAACATCGACACATTGATACTATCATGGATGACACAATGAAAAAGAAACAAATAGAAACAGTGCTGGGACTTGTACGACGTGAATAGGCAAGCCGTCTGTACATT